ACAGTGTAGATAAATTTGCTAGGGTTCTATAGCTTGTAGTTGATGAATGAGTGAACGACAAGAAGAGAGAGTTTGGTGTGAAGAAGATAAGGAGCATGTGAGAGAATGAACAGAAGGAAAATGATCGGCTTAATTGGGTGTGAATTGAGTGATTTATATTTGTGTCTTTTTAGAAAAATAAGATAAATTAGTCCTGTGTGCATGTGTGGTCACTTGATGGCTGAAAACAATATGTATAGGTTGTATTCCATGAATTGGAAGGCCAAAATCGAATGTTGTGAGTATGTGTGACAAAAAGCTGGGTTGAGGTCGTATTGGACTGAGGCACTAGGTGTCGACAAGCTAGGAGATGGAAACAAGAGGTAATTAAATTTTGAACTTAAAGTTCTGCGTTGGCAGTGTAGATAAATTTGCTAGGGTTCTATAGCTTATAGTTGATGAGTGAGTGAACGACAAGAAAAGAGAGTTTGGTGTAAAGAAGATAAGAAACTGCGTGAGAGAGTGAACAGAAGAAAAATGATTAGCTTAATTGAGTGTGAACTGAGTGATTTATATTTGTGTCTTTTTAGGAAAAATAAGATAAATTAGTCCTGTGTGCATGTGTGGTCACTTGATGGCTGAAAACAATATGTATAGGTTGTATTCCATGAATTGGAAGGCCAAAATCGAATGCTGTGAGTATGTGTGACAAAAAGCTGGGCCAAGGTCGCTTTGGACCGAGGTATTAGGTGTAACGGCCCCGGAAATTCAAAAGGAAATACATATAATAATCTGAGTGCAGAAGCGAAATAAAAGATTAAACTTAACATCCCTTACACAATAAATTAAAAATACTAAACAACATCACAGAATAAGTTCTCGAAAAGAAATACGAGAAATGAGAAAAATAAAGGAACCTATAAAGCATCTAGCATCTACTCGTCGTCTTCTTGTGGATCGGGCTCGGGAACCAGGTCCTCATAATCTAAAATAGTTAAATAAGGAATGAGTTACACTAGCCCAATAAGGACATCACACTACATCACCGTCACAGAAGTAAAAGTTGGTAGAAAACCAACAAACAACCAATGGAGCACAAATTTTAAGCCAATACATTTATTTAAAATAAAATTATTTACCATTTTTCTTACCATTGGAGAACTTGTGAATACCTATAAAGACAATAACATCATACAGATCACAATTTCATGCATAATCAGTAACATAAAACATATCATAAATTCGTATTCATTAACAATAACTGATTATCACCGTTTCTCGTTTTCACCAACCTACTAATATCCATGGGGATCCATAGGGGTGTCTCCGCTACACGTGAACCATTCTCCTTAACATCTTAATTTCAGGGCCGTCCCATACCCGGTCCGG